GGCTGTGTGTTTGGGATCCATTGTCTGGTAGATGGCAACAAAGTTTGTGAGTCTAAGGAGCTTGCAAAGAAAAGCATCTGGACTTCTTTAAGTTGCTTGAAGACGTTTCACCTCTCATCCGAGAAGCGTCTTCAGTTCTAAGGTCAAATGGTGGAGAGTCTCAGATTTAAGCTCTGTGGGTGTATCCCCCACAAAGAGGGACAAAAGGACCACCTGATGATCCTCTACCTCAGGGGTGCCCAATCCCAGTCCTCGAGAGCTACCGTCCTGCAGCTTTTAGATGCATCCCTACTCCAACACAGCTGAATCAAATGGTTTGATCTCTTCAGCATGCCATCATGTTTGGCAAAGGCCTGATAACAAGCCATTCATTTGATTCAGGTGTGTGGGAACAAGGATGCATCTAAAAGCTGCAGGGCGGTAGCTCTCGAGCACCAGGATTGGGCACCCCTGCTCTACCTAATCACATGAGCCAGGGTTTCGGGTGAGCTCATTGTGAAACTGGCCCCACCCTATCATGTGATTTCCTGAGGTCAGATGGCCCAGGATGTGAGTGGGCATTCGGCGTCTGGGAAGTATCTCAAAACTGGATTATAGATGGCAGACAGTTGGTGTCGTAAACCACCGCCTCTGTTCAAAGATGGCCGCTCACAGTGGACATAGATGGCTTCTTTCACTCCTCTTTCAAACCATCTGTCCTCTCTGTCCAAAATGTGAACATTGGCATCCTCAATGCCATTGTTCCCACTTTGGAAGCAACTTGAAGAAGTCCAGACGCTTTTCTTTCCAAGCTCCTTAGACTACGATGACCTGGATGACTGAGAACCTTCACAGACAAAGTTTCTGAGTATTTCTTCTTCAATATTTTGTCTCTGTACATTGTTTGTTCCCTCAGTTTATGAAGTATGTGGAAATGTGTATGTGGGAGCACCTCGTGGCCGGTTTATGGTGGAATGATTTTCTTTCCACATTATTTACTCCAGTGCTCACTGGAATTTACAGTAGTTTAGAAATTCTGTAACCAAGGGCATCATCTGGAAGAAGCAACTAGAGACTGAAGAGGTACAACACAAACACTATGGCAAAGGGGAGCCAGGACATCAAATTGGGGATACCGTTGTCATTCCCACCCACCAAGCCCCAAGAACAACTTGCGCAGTAAAGGCGTTGAGGGCAAGTACAGCTGAAAGAGAGGCTCAGTGGGGAACCCGGACTCTCCAAGACTCTGTGAAGGTTCTCAGTCATCCAGTCCACTACAGGAAGACAACACCTGCCTGTGAGGGTGACGCCTCCGTACTAGATGTGCTGAACAACTTCTACGCACGGTTTGACTCTCAAGACGTGATGATGAGGAAGACTACTCCCCTCACAACGACCAGGCTCTGTGTCTGATGTGAAGTACTGATGTGCACCGTTGTGTCTGCATCATTCTGTTCTGTCTGGTGTTGCACAATTTGGTGGTTTTTTGCCAGTTTTGCACACTTGCACTTTATGTAGTTCTGTGTTGATTGTTTGTCAAAGTGAGTTGAGGCAACTGTTTTTGTGATTTAGCGCTATCGAATAAAAACTGAGCTCAACTGAGCTGTAAGGGCTTATTAAACACAGGACAAAAACACAGGATGGTCGTTTAGCCCAAGATTTGCTACCCCTCCCCCAAAAGGTTGATTCTGTTCATCTGGATGTTTTCTTTTAAAACGAGCGTTTATACAGTTGGAAACCTGCAGTCAGCTGATAATGAGGAAGTCACTCTGCTACTCTTTGATTCCAAACTTCCTGTTTTTCATTCTGGACCAGATTGAACCATTTTACTATTTATATTCCTTTTAAAATGTCCATGTTTAGCTCATTAGCAGCTAAGTGGAGGCCAAACGCTGCATCGTGTTCAAAAACAGGATCTCTTTCCCGTCTGCTGGACAGATTTGGTGACCTGTGGTTTATTGCTGAGGCAGATTTCAACTTTCAAGGAAGAATCGTGTTTCTACAAAAGACACAGCAATATCAAATAACATCATTAACCTTTTCTTCATTTACATTTTACGAGGGAAAGAGCATTTTTCTGCTGTCTGTTTTCATTCCTTCTATTTAAGGCAGAAAATTGAAGCATAATTGGTGACTGTCTCTGCAGGAGCAGGATACCTGCAGCTGACAGGATACTAACCCTAAACAGAATGACCAACATGCAGTGCATCAGTCCAGCTCAAACAGACCAGTATTGAGCCAGAGTGTAGCTGCATAGGCAGAGATCTGGAGTGATGTGTTATAGCACAAGACTTACTCTTTAAATGTGTCTTCATCTGTCAAAGGCACATCTTCAATCAGTACTGCTGAATTTGTTGTAAAGAAGATGCCCAGCAAGGCCTGAGACAGAGAGGGGTATATTAGTCAAGCAGTGGCTCAGAGTAACTTGTAATGTGGTCCCAAATGTAATGAACATAACAGCAGGGTCCAGCTCTTTATGATCCAGACATGTTTTTGACACAAATGCAATGCTTCCTAAACATTCACACAAAACAGGACTATTTGATACGCTATTGGATTAAACCGAGTCTTTCTTTACTCTTTAACTGGAGCTTCCTAAGCTGCCCTCTACTAACACTGGGAGGGAGATTCAGAAAAGTCAAACCATAGATCTGCTGTTATAGTTGCTGGTATAACAGGGTGTTTGCCTGACACTGTCTCTGCACCTTCACAGAAACAGCATACATGTCATGCACATCACGTTTTACGTTTAAAAGGGTCAGTCTGGACTCAAAATCTAACTTTATTTCAACCCACGTGGCTCATACACAAGTGTATGTAAGAGTTAAGGCTCCGTTTTCAGACACATTTAAATATATAATGTTAAGAAACTGGAATCACGTGACTGAGTGAACAGTAACTTCGTAACAAGAATTTAAGTGGCGCATAACGACGCAGCAAAGCAAAATCTCCACACTTACCAACATGACAACTCCCCACATGCTCAACACGATCCCACATGCGGCGAGTTTAGGTCCACAGATGAGGCCACGCATGATTCCACTCTGGTGCTCTTACTAGTCCACACAGAGAGCGTCAAACTAATCTCAGACTACTGTAGCTTCTTCGGTCACGTGACTATGACCGAACAGGTTCCGGGATGTTGAAAGTTAGAAATAGAAACAAACCGATCGAGTGTTTTATATTAGTGTGCGGTGCGATACATTTGCTCCTAACTTGCTGTAATAAAAGCCTGACACGTCCGTCACGTACAAACCAACACAAACCTCTAATTACAAGTTTTCTGTAACAATCCGGTAAACGAAATCACGTGACCGCAATGTTCTCAGTCATGTGACCTTCCCTCTCCGAGCGCAGATACCTTTGGAAATACAGTAATCTCCTGATTTCACAACAACATGAACGCACGCCTGTCTCTTTTATTCTCTGCGCTTATTTTGTGTGATAGACTTTGAAACGCTCTGCTTTGCAGTAAACGCGTACTGTATCACTAGAAAGTAAGCGCTCATTTAACGTGGTGTCGTCTTGTGCACATGGCAGGCAAGTGATTTGAATGATAATATATATTTAGAAAAAAACCACTGTAATGTATCTATGTGTGCCTTTGTAGTGGTACGGTATGATTATGTATAGGTTTCCACCAGCCTGCACTGTGCAGTGTGTGTGACATAGATACACCATAACAGTACCTGATGATAAGCTGGATTTAGACCAAATTTATTATAGTTTAAGTACAATTAAACAACAAACTGATGATTAATACAACCTACAGCATATAAATGGAGATGGAGTGTTTAAGGAAAAAGATTCGCAGCATGAAACATTAATCTGGATCAGAACTAAGTAAACTATGCAGCAACCCTACATTTCTTTACTCTTGTGGCTCTTTTTTAAAGAGTTGTGCATAAATAAGCACGTTTCTGTTTTTCAATCTTCCCTTCATTGTGTGAACATATATTTTTGGTAAACAGACTTATGTACCGCTTTTCTAACTCTATCTGCTTTTTTCTATTTCTGTTTTACCAGGTTCATTCACCCATTCACAGACAAGCACTTTCTTCTATAAACTGGCACACACACTCTCACGGATGTATCGTGACAACCCGACAGACACTTGGACATGCAGACCGAAGCAGCCAGAGATCAAATGATCAACCTTCCACCTGGTAGATCACCCACTCTACCTTCTGAGCCACAGCCATCCGTCATGCTGTACCTCATACTATCCCCTCTGGACTTGTATGTTGTTGTTTCTACAGTAGCGTCACCAGTGTGTAGTCAGATCTCATTTCTGTAAACAATTAAGGTGTTTTATGGTAAAATACAACAATATAAAAGATAAATACAATATAAATTGTCAATAGACTGCCTAAATGTTAACAATGTAAACCACCATGTGTCACTCAAAGAAGCCCCAAAAAGACCAGATCCCCTGCTCTTTAACTACAGTAACTGATCATGCGATTATCGGTGTGCTTAGCTTTAGTCTGCACCCATCAAGAAGTTATTGTGAAAGATGTTCTGAGGACATTGCTATTCAGTATTTTTTCTTTCTTTAAAGCCAAGGTTAGAGTATCAGTTTCAACCAGGAACCTTCCTGCTGTGAGGTGACAGTTCTAACCACTGCACCACCACGAAGCACTGGCCTGAGTGTCAAACTGCTGAAGCGTTTTCCCCGGGACTATACAAAATAGATTCTCAGTGTAGACATCACAGTGTGTATGATTTTAGTTTGAGGATGGACAGACTTATACGGCCATATTTTAAAAGAACGTGCTACAATCCGTGGTTCCAACAGTGTGCCAGCACTTTAACATTATGAAAAGGTTTTTGAACATTCTGTTAAAACGTTTCTTCTTGGTAACCTTTTTTAGTTTTTTTTTTTTCAGTTTTTATCCTCAATATCGTACGGAGCCCCGCAGGGGACATGGGAGAAAAAAAATTAAGACGGACTTTTGCGAGATCTCGCAAAACAAACTCGGGATCTCGCAAAAGTCCGTCTTAATTTTTTTTCTCCCATGTCCCCTGCGGGGCTCCGTAATATCATCTACTAATCTGATTCCAATTATATATTTTTCTTGTTAGTATTCACGTCCTCAAGTTTACCCCGTTTCGAGTGACCCGGTCACAGTGAGTTCTTAAAAACTGAGATTTACGAGTGCACCCTGAAGCCAGCGCGAGCCATCTGCTGAGCGCGCGCACATCCGTCTGTCGTCAGTGACATGATAGGAAAGAAGTTTGAAGCAGATAAAACACCTTTTGCAGCAGTATGCAGCGCGGTATGAAAAAGACTGCCTTTTCCAAGCAGCGATACTAAAGACGGCGGGAGAGCTGCTTTCTAGCTGTGGAGCTACATTAGCTACGTGGCTATGCTGTTAGCATCGTAGTAGCTGTAATTGAACTGAAGGACATCATTGAGTGTGTGCTATCACAGAGACCAGCGAAATGACCTCAGCTTCTACTAAAGTAAGTCAGTCTGACACGTGAACACCTAGCATGTATTACATGGTGTGCGTACAGTGTTGTTATCCTTACACAAACGTACCGAGCGTCCCGCTGCTTCTACACAATGGCCAAAACATGGACTGAACTTTTCCAGGGGATCATCAAACAATATTGCAAAATCTTTAAGTTTTAGGACAAATTATCTAAAAAGCAACAGTGGAAAATCATGGATCATCTATGCCCACGTGTTGCTTTTGGTCCTCCTTTTCCAGTGAGGGGGAATCTGTATACCTCCACCCAGCACCAGTGTAAGCTGGTGCTGTTGTATTACTCTGTGCTGTGACTGCGTGCAGCAGGACACTGCACATAAACAACCTGGATCCCAATGATAAACGTCTGTCTGAGCACTCAGCGTGCTTTATATAACTTGCCTCATTCACCCACACGCATTCATAATTTGGGGTTAGTATCTTGCCCAAAGATATTTGGCAGGCAAATTGGAGCAGAGAGGGGTTGAACCACCAACCTTCTCTCAGCTGACCTGCTCTACCACCTAAATGTTAATCGCAGCATGTTGCAGTACACATCCCTTTATTACAACGTTCCTCTGTGGAACGATACGTAGTCATTTTCCATGGATGCTACTTGTCCACTTAACCACTCTGTGTTGGCCAGGTGGGCGAGATCTTCTCTGCAGCAGGAGCGGCCTTCACCAAACTAGGAGAACTCACCATGCAGCTTCACCCAGTGGCAGAGTCCAGTCCTGCCGGGTAACACTAGTCTCACACACCTTGTATAATTATAATAATTTGTCTATAATGATATAAAAAGTAATGTTGTTGCATTTCGTATGGACTTTAGCTGTTTTTGTTGCTGGAGCCAAAAGCTAAGATGTACTTTATATAAGTTTAATTTCATCATAAACCATTGAGTTAAGTAAATTAATTTTCTGTCTATAACAGCGGTTAATCTCAGTGTGCTTTATATATAGTAAGGCAGGGTGTCCAACTCAAGGCCTCCAGTGTCCTGCAGGTTTAGACGTGTCCAGCTGATTTAAATGGCTACATGACCTCCTCAACACATCTTGAAGTTCTCCAGAGGCCTGGAAATGACCTGATCATTTGATTCAGGTGTGCTGACCCAGGGTGAGATCTGAAACCTGCAGGACACCGGCCCTCGAGGCCTGGAGTTACCCACCCCTGTAGTAAGGTAAACGTTTTCACGAGGGGTCTCTAAGGCTACGTTCACACTGCAGCTCTTAATGCTCAATTCAGATTTTTTTTATCAAATCCGATTTTTCATTTATTTACTTTTTGTCTGCTCGTTCACACTACAAATAAAATGCGACAGCAAACGCGCTCTAGTGTGAACCCTCAAAGCGGCTGCATGCGCAAAAGAAGATGTCGCACACAACGCGCTCTGTTTAGACCCAGACCAAACAGTGTTGTTGGACTGATGGCCTTAATATAAAGACTTGTTTCGGACTTTACGTTTCCCAATTTAGCTTTAAGTTATAAAGTTATTGTGATATTTACATTTGGCCTAATAATGATCCTTATTGCTGTTTTAGAGGAGCGGTGCTTCAAAGGATAGCTGCAGATTTCTGTCAGAATCTGCAGATTATACAGTACAAATAAAATGTTCACACTGTCTTCCCAACAGTCTCACTGGATAGCCAGGAAGCGTTCACGGCGTCCTCTCCGGCGCTGATAGTTGGCGTCTGTCTTCTGTCAGTGATGTAAAAGACTGATTTAATGCGACATGACCGTTCAAACAGCAGTCGCTTTCTGAAACATCAGATATGTATCGGATTCAGGACCACATACGAAAGTGACCCAGGTCGGATTTGAAAATATCGGATTTGTGTCGTTCACACTGTCATACATGATCAGATATGGGTCGCATAGGGTCAAAAAAGTCAGATTTGATGTGCTTTCGCCTGCAGTGTGAACGTAGCCTAAGTGGATGGATATTTGATTAAGTAGATTTACCAGATGTCCTTTCTGATACAAACTCCAAAGGATTTGAGTAGTGTAAACCACTACACTATGGAGTCACTGCTTTATATAGTAAGGTAAAGGCCCAAATATCGAAGGAAAGACTCCAACAATCAGACCAGGTTCCCCTTAAGGAGAGGAAACCATCTGCTAGAACAGGATGAGCATTTACGTGAGTCTACACTCCAAAACGTATACATGTGCATAGCATGCATGGCACAATTTCATGTACTGTAAATAATCTATAAACTATACTATAAATAACCTAATTTAAGTTAGGTTTGTGAGTGCATTAACTTGTGGGTCACCATAGCTGCATCTACTAAAAGAAGTTCAGTCTCTGTGACCTCCATCTCAAGGTCAGGGGTTTAAGTTTGCACATTCATAAGATTTTCAGAAAACTCGAGAATAATTCAACGTAGAACTTTTAAATTGAGACCATAGGTGTATCTACTAAATATCTTGGACATGTCTTATTCATGAGAACAACCTCTGGGGCGTAAAACGTGTAACTTTGTGAGCCGGTTTTAATAATAAACATGAATCAGACACAGAGTGTTACAGTCAGAGTCAGACGAGTTACCAAATAAATGGTCACAGAACGTGTGATTCATCTGTGTCATCACATGTGCAGAGACTACCCAGTGTGGGCCGGAATAGCTTAATCCTTAATTTAGCTCCCATCTCTCCTCCAGCAGTTTGACAAAGAGCACAGTGAAGAGGAAACCATATGAAGATGGAGCTACGCCTGCAACTTCTGACAGTCCAAAGAAGGTCATCAAGAAATCCACTCTTGCTGTTGCCAGAGCATCGCAGGGCCCCCCAGCTGTTATCTCTGTGTCCACAGCTCAGGTTGTCATGGCAGCAGGTCTCCAGGGTCCCCCCTCCAGCCAGCCTCCTCTGAAGAAACAGAAGACTGCAGGTCTCCATCCTCGACTCCACCAACAGTTTTATTCATTTCATTAAAAAACAAAAAACAACTTTCTTGTAGCTTGTAAATAATAACTTTTTGTAAATTTTAAATACACAAAAATGAACAAATAATACAGAGAAGTGAAGTGAAGTGAGTGCTGTGTGTGTGCAGATGTGACCCTCAGCGCTCTGAATGATTCGGATGTGAACAGCGATCTTGTGGACATCGAGGGACTCGGTGAGCGATCCAACTCCAAAAAACTCAACAATTTTGATCAAGGTAAAGTTCATGAACAGAAAAAAACCACAGATGGATTTTTTACGCTGAATTACACAAACAAACAGAAGCTGTCAGATATTGAAAAGTTGGGATCAAGTCAAAAGATTAGATAGCTTCTGCTTTAACATCATCGGGTCTGACTTCTGTTGTTCAGCAGAAGAAATTGGGTAGAAAACCCCGTCCAGTAAGTCCTGCACCTCACTTGCCTTACCATCAGCAGTTTGGGCAAGTGGCTATCAGCTCAAGTTGAGTTTAAACAAGGAAACTTTGGGTTTTCACATTTAAAAAAAGTGACGTTGGGAGCATCGGCACTATCCAAAACATGTAAATGTGTACTAGCACAAAACTGCTCAAAGAAGTCCTGCCATTAATTAATTCTTCGATCTTAAATATGATCAACCTATCTCTAATGATCGGCTATGTACCACAGGCCTTCAAGCTAGCTGTAGTTAAACCTTTACTCAAAAAGCCATCTCTAGACCCAGCAGTCTTAGCTAATTATAGGCCAATCTCCAACCTTCCTTTATATCAAACATCCTTGAAAGAGTAGTTGTCAAACAGCTAACAGATCATCTGCAGAGGAATGGTTTATTTGAAGAGTTTCAGTCAGGTTTCAGAGCTCATCACAGCACAGAAACAGCTTTAGTGAAGGTTACAAATGATCTTCTTATGGCCTCTGACAGTGGACTCATCTCTGTGCTTGTCCTGCTAGACCTTAGTGCAGCATTCGATACTGTCGACCATAATATCCTATTAGAGCGATTAGAACATGCTGTAGGTATTACAGGTACTGCACTGCAGTGGTTTGTATCATATCTATCTAATAGACTCCAGTTTGTGCATGTAAATGGAGAGTCCTCTTCACACACTGAGGTTAATTATGGAGTTCCACAGGGTTCAGTGCTAGGACCAATTCTGTTTACATTATACATGCTTCCCTTAGGCAGTATCATTAGAAGACATAGCATACATTTTCACTGCTATGCAGATGACACCCAGCTCTATCTGTCCATGAAGCCAGATAACACACACCAATTGAGTTAAACTGCAGGAATGTCTTAAAGACATAAAGACCTGGATGGCCGCTAACTTTCTGCTTCTTAATTCAGATCAAACTGAGGTTATTGTACTCGGCCCTGAAAATCTTAGAAATATGGTATCTAACCAGATTCTTACTCTGGATGGCATTACCTTGGCCTCCAGTAACGCTGTGAGGAACCTTGGAGTCATTTTTGACCAGGACATGTCCTTCAACGCACATATTAAACAAATATGTAAGACTGCTTTCTTCCATTTGCGCAACATCTCTAAAGTTAGAAATATCCTGTCTCAGAGTGACGCTGAAAAACTAGTTCATGCATTTATTACTTCCAGGCTGGACTACTGTAATTCATTATTATCAGGATGTCCAAAAAACTCGCTGAAAAGCCTTCAGCTAATCCAAAATGCTGCAGCAAGAGTCCTGACAGGGACTAGAAAGAGAGAGCATATTTCTCCTGTTTTGGCTTCCCTTCATTGGCTTCCTGTTAAATCCAGAATTGAATTCAAAATCCTGCTCCTCACATACAAGGTCTTAAATAATCAGGCCCCATCTTATCTTAATGACCTTGTAGTACCATATCACCCTATTAGAGCACTTCGCTCTCGCTCTGCAGGCCTACTTGTTGTTCCTAGAGTATTTAAAAGTAGAATGGGAGGAGAGCCTTCAGTTTTCAGGCCCCTCTTCTGTGGAACCAGCTTCCAGTTTGGATTCGGGAGACAGACACTATCTCTACTTTTAAGATTAGGCTTAAAACTTTCCTTTTTGCTAAAGCATATAGTTAGGGCTGGACCAGGTGACCCTGAATCCTCCCTTAGTTATGCTGCAATAGACTAGGCTGCCGGGGGATTCCCATGATGCATTGAGTTTTTCCTTTCCAGTCACCTTTCTCACTCACTATGTATTAACAGACCTCTCTGCATTGAATCATATCTGTTATTAACCTCTGTCTCTCTTCCACAGCATGTCTTTTATCCTGTCTTCCTTCTCTCACCCCAACCGTCCAGCAGATGGCCCGCCCCTCCCTGAGCCTGGTTCTGCCGGAGGTTTCTTCCTGTTAAAAGGGAGTTTTTCCTTCCCACTGTCGCCAAAGTGCTGCTCATAGGGGGTCATATGATTGTTGGGTTTTTCTCTGTATCTATGAAGCGCCTTGAGGCGACTTTTGTTGTGATTTGGCGCTATATAAATAAAATTGAATTGAATTGAATTGAATATAGGATAAGGCCACTGTAAGGTAAAGACCGTACAGTAATCCAATAAACTGTGGCAAAAACCCACAAGCCTGTATATTTATGGGCCCCATGTAAAGATTTGGACCATTTGATGATCTACAGTAACTATATGAGACTTTCTTTTCTGTCTCCATAGATACTCTGAACCTGGACTCAAGCCTCATTATGAACCCCAGCGACCTGCCTCTGCTGTCCCGCTGATCCTCCTGTAAACGTCTAGAAATGATGAAGAAACACTTGAAATAATTTGTAAAAATCAGGACTCGTGTTTGTAAGCAGTGGATGCTGAGCACTAGGATGAACAGCAGTCAGAATGTGTTGGTGATGAAGTTAGTTCTAGGCAAGTTGGCATAATGTGTGACCTTGTGTAATTTTCGTTTCCTTAAACTCTGGTTGGAGAAACATTTAGAATATCCCACTTTATTTATTTAAGTTACATTTCAGCAGAAAAACCTTGGCTTCACTGACAAAAGATAACCTTTGCAAAAGTTCTCCCGCTGCGGACGCAGGACATGTGTTTTTTAAACAAAGTTAAAGCATTTACAGAAACTCATTAAAAAGCTCCTCTATAATTTCCACTTCAGTGTCTCCAAATGCCTTTGCAAGATTCGATTTGTCATGTTGACAGCATAATTGCTGGCATGTGTTACTAATGTCTTTGACGAGCCAGTGTCCTGAGAAATCCACATCTCACTTTTGGCAGATATCCGTGGTTAAAACTTTGACTGTACAGACATGGCAGTAACAACATGATAAAAGGACATCTCAACTAACTTTACCAGGATTTCTCTGTAGAGCTCTGAAACACAACTGGTTTTCCACTAAACAGAATGACACCAGTGAGCTGAGACAATGTGGATGAATTCCAATTGAATATCAGAACCAGACTTTGTTCATCCCAAAGGGACAATTAAGATACAACAGAGCAGCATGACGTTAAAGACAAGGACAGAGCATAACCAGGCAATAAGAGTGAGATAATAAATACACAGAATATACAGTTTTAAAATTAAAGTGACTGAATAAGTGACTAAAAGTGAGTAAAGTGTTGGGAATATAAAAGGAGATATTGCAACTCTCCAGCATCCATATCAAGCTCCTATTATTCCAGATTGGAGTCTGGAAGTTGAAACAATGTAACAAATGATGATTTTAATTGTCATTTTTTCTGTATGTAGAAACTGTCGGTTTTTGTGTATTTTAGCATTTGACAGCATCACGTATGTTTCATGCTGTTTAATCTTTTCTTTATATTCATGTGAGTGGAACATAAAGTTAAGGTGATAGAAGATTTATTTTATCTCGACTTCATGCCTTTCATTTATTTTAATGCTTTGGCAGGAGCGTCACAGACGGGGAATTTTCATCAGTATCATTTTGCATGAAAGTGCTTGAGCTTTGAAGTGCAGCGAAGCATAGCTGCGTAAACACGTTGGCTTAAAAGAAACAGATGTTTTGGGGATGATGCAATAGCTGCGAATTTGAATGTGCCTGTGCATCTTTTCCATTCTCCTGTTTAGTTCCCAAAGAAATGTTTTTGTCTAAATAGAAGAAAACATTATTTTAGTTTTCATCTGCCAGCCTGGAAGTGCACCCCAACACATTAAGACACTAAGAAAAGTGATGCTAATTCTCTCCTGAAGAGGGAAAAGTAAATTGCAAAAGCATGATTTAAAGAAATATCCCTTGAGCTAAAAGCTGTGAAGGTGCTGACGGTGGATGTGACTGACGGCATCAAGGACATTTATAGGAACACAGTGACCAACAGTGTGATATCCTTCATACACCATCTCTGTGTGCTCACATAAGTGGAAATCATGACACACTCATTTGCGTTTTGTAAAGATTCATCAGCGCTGTAGACACTCAAACCTGACTCAGATTTTATTGTTGTGCTTGGAACAAAGCCATCGCGACCTTAAAGAACTTTAGCATGCATGTAGTTTAAGGTGAGCCAGATTTGAACCTTTTCTTTGGGTCTAAAATAAGTTTCAGTAGACATTTTAGTTTTCAAATGCTGACCTTTTATTAATGTGTAACAGTCATAATCGACCCACAGACCGTTATGTTCGTCCACTGGGAAGTTTTCGACACATTAAACTGCAGTGCTGCTTATTTATAACAAAATAAATGATAATCACAGCAGTGTAGTGATGTGTGTCTGACAGAAGCAGCACATAACATACTGGTAATGCAGTGAAAAATACCAGTAATGATGTGCTGCTACGGCCAGATGCACTGAATGTGACCAACACTCACACGTACTCACAAACATGCACTTCTGGAAAAACAAGTAAAGAATAAATCCAAGCACTACAGGTAACGCAGCATATTTTCAGCATGCAGTGATCTGCCTCCCACATACTGATCTGAAGTATAAAGAACAGAGATTTCAATGCAAACACCTCTCAGGTTGTTTGTGACAGCAGCTTTGGATGGATCAGTGATCTCTGGAGGGACGAGCACATATTTGAAATGAGTGATTCCACAGACTGGCAGGCTTTGACACGAGTACCTATCGAAAACAAGAAAATCAGCAACAAAATATAAAATGCAACATGCAGGCACTCCTGGTCAGCTGTGCGTTTGTTCCGAAGTTTCTTAAACAATTATTCATAAACAGAAATTAGTTTTATATGATGTGGATAAAACACATTGTTCTCTTATTTTAATAAAAACCTTTAGAAAGAGAACTGTGGCTGGAGTCTAATCGCTGATTGTTCCACACAAACACTAACATAAAATCAACATCGTTATGAGTGAAAAACCTAAAAAAAAGTTTGTTTGTTTTAAATAGAACGTGTCTAAGCTGTCGACCCTAAATAAGGAAATTATCTAAATCATTCGTCCTCATTTTCTAACCTCATTATGTTCTCTATAAGTAGGAAATGCTGTTTTCAGCTCACTGGTGCAATTAGTTTGTTGTCAGGAGACAAAAGGATTTCAGCTTGAAACAGAATTAAATGTGAGTTTGTGCTCACTACTGCTGCTCACTATTCATGTCAGTGCAATTCTTTTCACAGATCTCGACAGAAAAATAAACCAGTGATACTCAGATAATGACATGCATCCAGCTGCTATCAGACAACAGGAAAGCGACTCATGCATTCATTCACCCACATGTGGTTCATAGCTTTAAGACAAGTAACAGAAATTATTGCAATCAAAGTCTAAGCTGGAGGAAAATGGACTAGGAGCAGTGTGATGCTGAGGATCCCAGGGCTCACGGTGGCAGCACATGATGATTTGAAGCGATTCAGCACATCTGCAAAACATGATGTGCTGCTAGAGCGCACCCTGGACACACCGAGTCCATGACTCAGGCTGGTGCATGTCCACGGGGGCGGGAGGGCAAAGACAAAACTGAAATGTATGTGACCTTTCTCTGAAGAAGACGGCCACGTACAATAATGTTGAATTTTTGATTCCGTTCATCTGTAGGGTTTTCTTTTAAAAACAGAGAAAATGGAGGAAGTGGAGAAAAAGAGGAAGCAGTTGGGGGAGGGGAGGGGGACGACGACATATAGCTCAGATATTTTTGAAGAAAGATAACATTCAAGAATGTTTCACCACAAAGTATTTAATGATAAAATAATCCACACATTTTATTTTCTGATGATTTCCACCTGAAACATACTACAAAAAATAAAATAAAATCAAAGATTATTTAAGCAACTGAAATAAAATAAAAAGTATGACTGTACTTACCCCGACTATATCCTTAAAGGCAAACCACAAACAGCACACGCTGAGTCGTAACAAGCTACCTACTCTAATGTAAACAAAGATAGAAAATGAAAAACGACATTTACATGCAGCTTTTAGAAGAAGTCTTTCACCAAAAAGAAACACAATATAAACATCCGCCAGATGTCTGACTTTTCAAGATACATCAAGTTCAAAAAGCTGAAAGTAAAAAAAGAAAGTGATTTATTAAAATACTTGCATCCCAATTTTAATGAATCTCCACTGAACCAAATGTGTATTTTTATACCAAGAGTGTAAAACAGCATCTTACCTGCAGCCCTGCAGAGGGTCACGCTTTAAACACTGCAATCAGAGCAGATCAGTTAGTGCAATTGTCTAAGAAGTCATGTCTTGTTGATGCAGCCCCTAGGAACTAATCCAGACTCATGCCACACAGTATTATTGAAGGTACAGCAGCTCTGGTCCAGCCCAGAGGTTCTCTTACAATTTTCCCGTCATCTAATTCGTGAATGTTGGCTGCAGTTCAGTATTTCATGTGTCAGAGGAAAGAAGAAAACAAGGCAGGGTTGCTTTTTAAGGATAAGTGAGACTGAAGTAGTCATCTTAACCTGCTTGGATTTTATTTATTTAAATGCATTTCCAACAACAGATATATCGACAGAATATCAGTGATGAAAAATCAGTTTTTGTTTATGGTTTGGTTTATAAAATACCTGCAAATATCCTTCACATGTGATCAACAGTTGAAACCTTGTGACAGTTTGTACTCTGTGACTTAAAGGATTTTCTGTTGATTGATATATTTCACTTTACATGTGCATCCTTACATTGGAACCAGTGTTCTGTCATTTTAATGTGAAACTGAGAGTTAGTTGACTGATTCGTCAGTATAAAGAAAAAACAGATTTGAACTGGACAGGGCGGGGCCAGCACTGAACCTGATGCACCACACTTGACAGGATACACTTAAGATTTATACTTCCATAAAACTCGGCTGTAAACAGGAAACATACGCATGCATATCTGTCTGCAAAAAAATCCTCTTAAAGGGCCAAGAAGTTTTTATTTAAAACAAACAGTTTTAAATGTAAAATGTTTGGTGCTGATGCTTAACCTCCAAGGCTGCTCAAATGAAGCCTTATAAAGGCATGTGGTCACAAAGGGTCAGAAAAGGTAACTACAGATAACTACGTCCCAAACATCCACTCTCACTCACAGAAGAATCAAAGTGTGATGGAGGGAATAAAAGGCAAAGTGTTGGGAAGCTCCTGTCTATGGCCTGCTGCTCCTGCAGTCACAGCACCACAGGCCATTTTACATTCTTCAGAGGGAAAAAAAGATTCACTTACCATTTGCTGCTGAGATGTTAACCTGATGATGGAGGAGCTAACTAGCTTAACTACTGACTAAGAACACTGAAAGTAAACTCACACCTTCTTCTGCCTGTTTGTGTGGATACATTGTCACAATCCACAGACCAACAATCAGAACTAGTCCTCAAAAATAACATAAAACAGGAACAACAGAGGCACACACAGACACACAGGATGACTAGATTTGTCAAATAAAAGTAAAAACCAAGGAGAGTCCCAACAGCAGCTCTACACAAACACCCATCAGAGGGAGAGAGCCAGCCTACTACAGTGACAGAGAGAGCTGAAAAAAGGCCTGTTTGGGGTTTCTGGTTGCTCCTGCTTCTGTTCGTAGTAAAAGGGGGTGTCCGGGGAGGAAGGGGGTTGGTCAGGTTTTGGTCCCAGTCCCAAAAATACCCCCTCCCCCCAAAAAAAACAGACAAACAAACAAACAAACACAAACAAACAAACAAAACCAACAACTTCGTGTCCCCTCATCCTTCCTTGCTGGCCTTTCACCTTCTAGCTATGTGTATGTGCATGTCCCAGTCCTTCTCAGTGCTGCCTCGCTGAGCCCTAGCTACGCACACTGAGACAGTGAGAAGACTCAGTAGGCATAAAAACCTACAGGGCTGCAGCCTTTTTCCCTAGCAGTCACTTTCTACAATACAAATCGACATTTTCGGGGGCGGCGAAAAATCTAAAAAAAATATGTGGACGCTCCCCAGTGTGTGTGTGAGACAGGTGTAAAGCGAGGGGTCTGTCGGAGCTCCCGTTTGCACGTAAAAAATTTATTTGTGCGAGGCAAAGGGGCTGCTGCGCAGCGCGGAGCATTGAGCCTGTACGCCTGGCAAGCTGCTCCACTGTCAGACTGAAAGAAAGCCTGAGAAGACAGGGAGGGAGGAGAGGGAGGAATAGAAAATGAAGAATAGTGTGGCTCTGAGAGGAAGCTCTTTATGCATTCACACACAGTTTGAGGAGCCTACTTTATAGGCTAATGTTGCGAAATAAAAAACAGAAACCACAGCAAACACACGAGTGGGGTAAGTACAGTGAGCCACCAGCTTCTCTGTGCTGCGACACGCAAAGGAAGCCGAGTACAGAAACACACACATGGACTAGTATTAATGCACAAATGTAATCGCACTGAGAGCTACGCTCGGTGTTTGCCTGACTCTATTTTCTCATGTTCTCATATGGCCGTGACATGGCAGTCGACAGGAAGGAGGAAGACTCACACTGCTGAAAGTGCTGCTCTCAAACTACACTGTTTTACAAGGAGGTGGCCCTGCCTACCTCTCTTTCTGTTCTACGCACTTTTACACACACAGAAAAATAAAACATGGGCACATTAAGAAAAAGGCCCGGCGCTAACTTGAAATAAATCCTAGACCAGGCTCTAATGGAGCAGCTCCTCCAGCATTACTCGGTGTAACAGTGGGTGTCACAGTTAAGCTCCAGGGATGCCCCAAAATACAAAGTATGCTCGTTTTCCATTCACATGAAGCAGTCTTACTCTAATCACTTACAGGTGATGATAATGGCTAACACCACACCATCAGTCCAGGAGAAGAATTCAAATTGGCTAAGCCACACGAGGTTTCTTCACGTCTATGTCAATCGAATTTTAATAGAATCATCCCGAAATGATCTTAATCCATTTCCTAACATTTCTGCAGGCTGAGGCCCTCGATGTGTTTGTGGCAAAGACAAAAAAGAAGAGTTTAAAGATTTGTTTACTCAGTTCTGCTGTGTAAGTCTGGATATGACACATTGGAAAATATTTCCACATCAATTCACATCTTGAAGTTTAAAGTTCTGTTGTTCCTGGAATTATGTTTTTTTTTCTTTTACAATTTTTATATTGCATGCGTGAATATTTGACCTGCTGCATAACAGCTGAAGATCTTTATGGATCAGATAAAATATCTGATGCTATAAGGAATGGTGAAAAATATCCACAGCTGCAGTATTAAACTTTATTAAAATTTACCTTATGGATTTAAATCAGTGTAAATATAAAATAATACAGTCAAGAAATTTTAGCTTTTCAATTTGGGCCACTTCACTTTGTGATGGTTCGGACTGAACACATTCAGTGAAGCTCTAATGAATGTAATAAAAGAATTATAATTATTTCCAGAGTTTCCCTAAATGTTGCTGATACATTTTTGAATGTGATGCATTGAATTAATTGTTTCAGTCGACAGGAAACAAAATTCTGTCATTACAGTCTTCTTAAACAAAAAAGATTCAACTTCGGTTTTAAAGGTGTCACTTGTTGCCACTTTAATTTAATACTTTGTATTTTTTGATGTTTTATGGATTAAAAGTACTGAGTTGTTGAAACAAAGTAATATTTAGAACAAAGTGATGCCAACTATTCTGCAAAAATATTCTCCTTTTTGTGAGCAGCAGTTTCTGTCAGAATAAGCAAACACTATCTCCTTGGATGGCTCCACAGCCATCGTGACCTTTTCTTTATAAATCACCAAACAAGATTTAATCTATAAAAAAAAAAGTGAAGACATTAGAAATGTTACTTCACTCTCAGATGATGGTGTGCAGCACATACACAACCAGGGTCTTACCTAAAAACGTTGAACAGTAAGAGGGAGACTTTTTAATGTCAGGGTCCGTTTCTCGGTCATTCTGGGGGAGAGTCCAGCGGTCTGTGTGGGAGCTCCGCTTTTTACCTCGTTTTTCTATCAGTTTGTAAACGACACGCTTAAAAAGAAAAAAACTTTGCCTATAGTTTGCCTACAAATCATCTATTTGTCATGTTGCCTAAAGCTTTATATTAACACATTTATGAAAATTAGTTTCATTGTTCTAAAAACCGACTAATACATAATCAGAGTTGACTGGTCTTTGAGTAAAGTCAAAGTCAAAGGCAGCCGCACATATTTCGATAACTGCCCGTAATAAAGTGCGCAGTCCCCGCTGTGACGAGAGGATGACAGGCTGCGCAGGTGAGAAACTGCTGAGTCACTGCGTTTTCCGAGCCTGGACTTTCTCACTGTTTCCTCTGTTTAACGGGGCGTTTTGACTTAAGTATAGTTTATTTATTTGTTTGTTTATTGTGCTTGAAGGCGAGATTAGCGTCGTATTTAGACACAGTGTGCAGCCGAGTGGGCTGGCGTGGTTGCTGGGGAGGAGGCTGTGACTAGGGGAGTGTCCCCTTCCTCTACTTTTCCACTTATCACTTAAACTCTTTTGTAAAGAAATATAAGTTCTACACTGTTAACAATAAGCTATATTTGAACATTTGCTAAGATACTATATTATGATGACTTTGTCTCCGTGCAGAAACGGACGCGCACAGTGTCTGACACGGTGCAGTCACGCAGCCTTTTGTTTCAAGCCGCACTTTACTTTGTCTGCTAAGCGTCCCTCGCACAAAGCCTTTACTTACAGCACATCCACGCTTACAAAGCAGCTACCGGCCATAACACGTAAACACTTTTAAGTTACTTACCTACAAATGAAAATAAAAAGATAAAGACTAAATACTTTATTAATCAAATTTGGGGCGGAAAAAGAAACTCTTACCTTCGGAAGAAAAAGAATATCCAAAGGAGAAGTAATGTTAAGATAATCCTGGTTTTACAGTATTTATGAAAAAGCGAAATAGTGCGTAAATGTATTTGAAGACGGGCTCTCATTCTGTGTCAGTGGAGGATTTGAAAGTGGCGCCAACGGCAGTTGTTCCTCTGCTACCCACGCAGCCGTCACACACACAAAAAATAAATAGAAATTTAAACGTGCAAGTAGCAATATTTCATTCATACCAAAATGTGCCTGCCGACCACCGCAACCCACTCGTGTCCACAGTTTTGAATAATATACATTCTGCGATTTTTATTTATTTTTTATGTTAAATTAAAATAACCGTCAGAGGCTTTTTGAGCCGCGGTGCAAGACGGGAGATTTCTGTTGTGTTTTGAATTTCGAACTGACCGGAGCAGCTGACGTGCTGGCTCAGTGGCTCCCCCTACAGCCACTGTGCGTGCACTCATTCGTCACGACTTGATGATATGACATTTATTCAGTTGCTCCGAGATTTTGCGGTGTCTTTTCTGTTTTGTTTTTTGATCTTTGACGATCAAAATGACTTTGATTTTGTTGTGGTATTTTCTAAACATGTATGAATACTTGTGTGGAGCCCCCCCATCCTGTATCAATGAGGTAGATGGCTTAGAAATGAAGTTTATTATATATTTTTATATATTTATATGGACATAAACTCTACAGTATAACATTCTTCAAAATTCTTTTGAAATAGCACTTCAAAAAAGAAAGAAAACCTTCATTAGGCACCATAAAAGTAAAGCCATTGACTTGTGTTTTCATCAGTTTGGGATTCAGTTCAGCTCATATTGCTTCTGCACCTCTTTCCACAACACATTTCAAATAACAGTGGTCCTTCTTAATCAATCTCAGTAGAAAAATGAAAGAAATCATCTGCATTTGTTTACAGTGCATCTGAACAGAAACTCAACATTTCAGTGTGTAGTTAAAACAGCAAACATACCTTCAAATAATAAGGTTACTAAAAATCTATGTGCTTTCACATTTCAGTTTCGTCAAGTGCACTGAAGCGACTCTCAAGTCGGCGATTATGGTCCAGGAAAACCAGAGCCGTCAAGTTCCTGCTTGATGTGCTGCTCATAAAAGCTGCTCAGCATCAGCAGAATTAGGATCTGCCTCCTTGCAGCACAAAGCTAGTTTGCTCATCACAGCAACCCACTCCTGTACACCATGCCCAAAGGCATCAAGGTCCACAGTCCCACTCACAGATGCTTGGAGTGCTGCTGGTCCTAGGCTGCTGAAGGTAGATGAGCAGCCAGGGGTGGTGTTGGTGAAGCTGTCAACCATTTATTATGTATCTGGTCAGCTTGACTTTAGATTTCTGCTCCTACTCAACACACTTCTTCACAAAGCTGTTTGTTGGCAGCCAGGTTTATCTGCAAGTAATCAAGGTAATCAAGGACATTTGTTGCCACAGGATATCTGCTCCGGAAAACATCCAACATTTGCAACATCACTTTGCATTTGTCTGCAAATTCACCTAGGGAGTTTTTTCACTTTAGGAGTCATTCCACGACAAAAATTGGACTTGGATATTTTTACATTTTTACCAAAATGTACTATTTATATGTATATCCCACATCATTAAGGACATATTTAACTATCAGAAAAAGTCATTTTCCCATCCAGGCATTAGTTTTCTTTTATTATTGATCATATTTTCAAGATGTGTGACTGTAATTCTTCAACCCCGTTATGGACACTTTGGAGGCTCTCTGAATATTATCATAAAATGTATTTCTAAAGAAATCAATATGTTTACATTAATTAGATGTCCCCCATACTAATTCAATAATTTTAAATAGAAAAATGACATAAAATCACACATTTTTACTCTCTTAAATCCTGAAATGTAACTAATGAGTGAAAGCAATCTTGTCATTTTTCATCAAAAACAGGAATCAGCAAACATTAAATTATTTTCTTCAACATTTTAAGAAAATAATATATGAAAATGTAGGTGTGACGGGGTTGAGACTAGCATAACAGGGTTGAAGATGAACAGGGGAAGGACAAATACAGCTTTACACTATAAACAGTTGTTTACTCTAAATTCAATGTACAGGCTTTCCATTAGCATTATATCTCACTTTGTAACCAAGGAAGGACACCAGATAAACCTATGCAGTAGAATTAAGTTTTATTACAGGTTTTTCTGAATGCTTAAACCCTAACTGTGATTCTTACAGCACAATTCCTAAAACTATTGATACTTATAGCAAAACCACTCACTGAGTGTGCAAAACTAAAAGCACAAACACTGCTTTGCACTCAGTTTGCCATTTTGTAACACACACTTTGCAAACCTGTAGCTACAATCCACTGCACAGCACTCTTTTTGCAGAACTGTAAACACAACTCACTGCTTTACACTCAATTTCCAAATGATCAACGCACTCCTAGCAAAACTATACACATTTATGGCCATTATTTACACTATTTTGCCAACTGTCTGGCACACTGTCACATGTGAAAACTTTTTTAGATAATTAGTTCACTTTGCAATCAGCCTAAGCACTATAATACAGGTAAGCTCTGTGTGTGGAGTACAATGGAGGGAGCAGTCATCAGAGAACAGATGCGTTTGGCTGTCAGAGCGGCGCTTTTTTGAACTGCAGGTCCTTGAAGGGTGAATACAGTTTGAAGCTGGAGGATCTCTATATAAATATCCGATAGCAGCTAGGTCCCCTAACTTTCAGCAGCTGTTGAAAGGATAAAGTTGTGTATATCAGTGGTTAGAAATACCATTATTACTTTAGGATTAGTTTAACACAAATCGGTGCCCAGGAGCTGTGAGTCACAGTGCGCAGCATAAAGGTCCTTTCACATCGGATGCAGATGTGCTGCTAATGCTAACTGCTAACTAAAAGCAAAGGATCCAGAATTTGTTGCTGGCTGCTGAGCTCTGTGGGTTTTTGCAGCAGCTCTACCTGTACTAGATGCACCTGCTCCTTGTCGTTTCTATCTCTGACTTTATGTCCTCTACAAGAGTTTTGTTTTTTGCTGGTTCTTCAAATGTTCAATAAAAACATGTATGCTAATTCATAACGAAAGGACAGCCAAACCCATCTGTTCTTTGATTGGATAGTTAAATTTGTGATTGACATGACATTGGCCAATCAGATGAAAGGAAGAAAAATAGGTCAAAATTCGTACTTGTAACTTGAAACTTGAGTGCAGACTTTCTCACAGTAATTTTTTGGCTAAGTCCACACACAATCTTTACGAACAATTCTTTTTCACATCTTTACACACACAAAATTTTTCACAATCTTTTTACGACACAAAATCTACACACACAATCTTTTTTACACACACAAAATCTTTTTTACCACACACAATCTACAAACAATCTTTTTTACACACACACAATCTTTTTTACACACACAAATCTTTTTTACACACCCATCTACCAATTTTACACCACAAATCTTTTTTACACACACAAATCTTTTTACACACACAAATCTTTTTTACACACACAAATCTTTTTACACACACAAATCTTTTTACACACACAAATCTTTTTACACACACAAATCTTTTTTACAGCACCACAAATCTTTTTACACACACAAATCTTTTTTTACGCACACACAATCTTTTTACACACACACAAATTCTTTTTACACATACAAAACTGATTTACAAGTACAAAATATTTATGACCACATTTGAGCCCATACTTGAAACAAAAGCCATTGTTTTTTCATACATCAGTATCAGATTCTACAGTTTAGATAACATCATAGTCACTAAACTTCAAATCCCTGCCTAGTTGCAACAGTCTTTCCAGATACACCAACTCTGTTCATACTCTTCTTCAGAAACTAGAGTGACAGACACCATGTACCCAACAATACCTAAAAACTACAGTGATTCGTTGAAACGGAATCTGTTAACATTGTTGAAGAATCAGCTATGTTTAGTATGTATTTTGCCTATATCCAAATAAAGATGTATCAAACTGATACTACAAGTAGCTATTCGTCTCTTGCAAGTTCCATCACATCTGTATGGCACCCCTAGAAAATCGGGCCAGAAAAGTGAAAATGAGGAAACACCTGTAATTTCTCTACAATGAGATGCTGTGGCTAACGCATAGTTAAAATATGCAATAATATGCTGTGATTGTTCTTAAGTTTTCAGGTTTTTTTGGCATATTTAACAGTTGAACAGTATGAAGCACATGAAATGCGAGAAAGGTTTGGGTTTTGGTCTGATGATAATCTGTTTGGAATGAGTATGATGCATTTTGTCCAACTATATGGTCTGTTAGCATGATTCTACTGTGTGAGGAGTTTTGCAAACGTGACCAAGTATTGAACTTTCTACTTAAAACTTAGATGGTGTACGTGGATACAAAATACTAAAGTGGAACAGTATCGCTAAAGGAACTCAATGTCGATGGAAATTCTTATTTTTAAGTTTTGCAAATAGCTAGTAAATTCTAACCACAGAATATAATAAGACAACCACAACAGCATATTTACAACTAACAAACATTGCAAAGTGAATTGCTCAAATGTAACATAGTAATGTGTGTGTGCGTGCGCGCGTGTGAGTGTGTGTGTCTAGGCATAAGTGCTGATGAGGTGCTAAAAGTCACCTCATCCTTGCTCCGGTAACAATCAAACTTGTTGAACTAATAACAATAATAATCAGTTAACGATTTCAGTGTGTCTGTCTGTATCAGCGCCTGTGTCTGTGTCAGAGTGTTTTTGCATGTGTGTGCCTGCATCAGTGTGTGTGTCTGTATATATGCATGAATGTGCCTTTTGTTTCATGAATTCATCTTGTTGAGTCAGTTCCACACCTCTTTCAAGACTTCCACAGCGCCTTGTCACAGCCTGTGGGGTGGAATGAGTTCAAGGACATCATCAAACAGGTACCAGAGGATATCATCCTGATGCGGCCAGAACAATCGGTTTGACCCAACACGATGCATGCATTTGACCTGGACTTGTGTTGTTTGTATTTTAGAATGATGCCTGGATACAAATCATCGTCATATCTGAGAATACACCATTTACCAATCAGCTCTGGACTTTCCCACTGGATTTTTCTGGATCCCCCCCCACTGCCTGTCTGTGACACAGCCGGTTCTATCTTCTGGCCAAAAATGAAACACTGGGTGTTGAAGCACTTGCCGTTAAACTGCTTCTGTGTTGTGACATGCAGCTTACATCACAAACCATCAGTTCTCCTGGAGTACAGTAACGACCTGGTGAATTCTCACGGTTCCAGGAACAGCTGGTATCTGCTTCGGCATTTTCTCATAGCTTCCTCAACATCTTCACTTTTCACAAAGAACAGTTTCACACTTGTGTTTGTTTCAGACAAGGCCCTGAATAACTCTTCTGCATCTGGGATGTCATGCCCCTTTGCTACCATCATGTCAGCTGCTCTTTTTAAGGCTCCCCCGACACCATCTGGTGCTCCTTTTCCATGACTGGCCTC